TCCCATAATATTCCCCCAGGGTGTTGTTGAACAGTTTCAGTTCTTTCCTTTCCTTTCCTTTCTTGACTTCATCTGCCCGTAAAAACAGGAGTACCTTAAGTTATTTACTCCTGCTTAAAATGCGCTCACCCTGACTCGTACCTCATTTTCCCAATGGTAGATGACAGGCACACACCCTGTCTTGAGGCAGACAAAAAAGCTGAGTAATTTCCGCGGGAGGACAGCTGTAGACACCGCAGCCGCTGCGGAATTACTAAAAATAAACCCGTTAACAGTTTTGAAGTTGAGAAATCGCGCAGTATTCGTTGGAATCAAACTCTCGTTTCGCGGTGACGTCTCTGCATACTTCGCCCTGACGCACTGCAGCCCCAGGCGTTTTTCGTGCGGGAATTGCGGAAGGTGGGAAAAAGTTGCGCGTTTTCAGCGTCCAGCCCGGTGCCGCCGCTCCGCAAAGCGGAGATTTGGCCGTTTTTTCTTATTCCGACAGTACAGCCCAATGCTAATGACACTGGAATAACCGCAAATTTTGCAATCCTTCGATTTATGCTCTCAAGAGTTCTCAAATACCAGCACGTTTAGCAGCATAGTCACCAACAGGAATTGATCATTAACCTTTCCACTTCACATAACTGGAGGGGGACGTAATGGGTGCCAAGCAGTTCAAAAATGCAAACCAATCTAGGTGGGGAAAATATGTTTGAACAACTTCAGTGATTAGACCAGTTATTCATCACAAGTCTGTGGCGAAAAGTAGCGGTAAAGAATGCATTTGATGGCTTCATTGTGGTTTTAACGATAATGATGCATTTGGTTTGGCCGGCCGGGACCCTGACTTTTTTCACTAAGTTAGCGAATCAGACATGGATTCTGTTCAAAACGCTGCATAAGTGTTCAGATGTAAAGTTAAGAGCGTAGAACATTTACCTGCAAGGGCTTCTTTTGCTAACTGTTTGTAGCCCTTCATGTAGGTGACTCATTTTTAATTGACCTACTGAGTCTTGACTTGAATTTAGTTTACCACACTTCGTTTAATTCCATAAACAGATACGGTGAGCAGAGGGAAGACATAAATCTGTAGTTAGCAGTTTCCAGTGAATTTATTCTTCCACCCTTTCAGACAAATGGGCATTGTATATTTAGGTAAATGTTGGCAATTGTATATAACGTTCAATATCAAAGAGGACAGTTGAATTCCCAAATTCCCATTCAGTTGATTCTACAAATACATTCATTTGTACCCATTATTAGCCTATTCTTATTATTATTATTATTACTATTATTATTATTATTATTATTATTAGTAGTAGTAGTAGTAGTAGTAGTAGGCTAGTAGTAGGCTAGTAGTATGGTAAGCAGAGCTAGAGGCGGAGGAGAACACCAACTGTACAATTATATACATATATAATTATATACGTTATAATATAATATAATATAATACAAACAATCCACTACATATCCCAGAAATTAAGAAGTTGGTGGTGTTAGCCATATGGGTCCGCCAATACATTTGCGTGGTTATTATTATTATTATTATTATTATTATTATTATTATTATTATTATTATTGCTTTTGTTGTTCTTGTCGTCGTTAAGAGAAACGGGAACCTCAAAATCTCGTATCCAACAAGAGCGTTCACACCTTGGCAATTTAGAGTTCTACGCCAGAAGACTTCTGCTCTCTTATGATAGGTCAGAGCTCTACATACTGAAGCGCTAATGAATTGACGGGGCTGGCGCAATAGCCTCTCTCTGCAGTCTCTAACGGGCGTTTAGTTGCGTCGGATCTTGTTTTCTGCCAGACGGAAGACACGCACGGATGATAGCATGACAACCCGCCGCGGAGGCGCACGGAGCGTCCGAGCGCTTGCTGCTGCAGTCGAGCGCCGTTCCGGATAAATGCAATTTTTTGTTCAGCACACGTGACAGATAGCCGGTCGAGCATGTCTTGAATTTGGAGAGTTTAATGGCTTTAGCTTAGTTTTTATTTTTCCACTTATTAATGATTTTTGAAGATGACTTCCAAAAGGGATATTTGTGGTTGCTAGCAGGAACCCGCAGTTTGGCCACTATGTCGCTTTGTAATGTAATTCGCATCCAGAAATCCTATGGAATATAATCTGGTTTGTCACAATCTATACATTGTTTCATTCGGCCCCGTGAAAAACAAACTCTTCGTTCTCGGCATGATGTTATTTTGGATATATATGCTATATTCGTGCGCGGGATACTGCTCCTCTGCGCCAAGTTTGGAGGTGGACTCTACCCGCTGGCAAGAGGCTAGTTCTCCCAGTAAAAGAACGGAGATCGCCGGACTGACGTCCAAACTCTTATTCAGACCTCAAAGCGAGGTGGACGCGCAGGTCAGTTACGATGAACCTTCGGCCGCGAATACTACCAAAGACCCGCTAAACAGCGATAACGGGGTCGACAGAACAGAGGAATGGGATGAATTCGGGGGTGATCAGCTGTCCCCGGAGCCTGGTGCCGCGTCAAACGTCTCCGAAGAGTCCGTCATTAAGAGGCTGCCCCAGGCCATCATCATCGGGGTGAAGAAGGGGGGCACGCGCGCGCTGCTGGAGTTTCTCCGCGTGCACCCCGACGTCCGAGCAGCGGGAGCCGAGCCGCACTTCTTCGACAGGAACTACGGGAACGGGCTGGACTGGTACAGGTAAATCAGAAACAGGGCTACGCGCGATCAGGGCTTTGGTTGACCAGACTATTTAAACGAACGGTGATCGACAACGTGATGAATCGCGAGCAGCAAATGCATGCGTTGCTTGCTCTCCGTACTGGACATCATCTCCTTAATTCTAAACATTCCTGTCACTTTGATAACGGAGGTTTTACAGAAAATGTCTCTGCCGCTTTTAAAAAGCAATCCCCTTTCCCCGTGCATATTCACTTTATAGGTGTGTTTGACTTTTTCAAGCATTGTGAATTTGACAAGTTTTACTTAATGAAATAAATTTTTTCATCCCACATATTTGGCATTTTATCCTGATACATACAATTGCTTCTGATTGCTCAGTCGGACATGTTGCTTTCTCAGCTCATAATTATTATTACCTATTCATGGGTTATGAGTAAAAGGGGCTTGCCGGCGCTATCTGTGGACACATTTCTGGTAAAACCTGTCAATCATTGCGGAAATTTCGTCATGCATGAAAAATAGTCACAAGTTGAATTTTCATTTAAATTAACGCGCTCACATCGTCCGCTGCAAATACTTTAAGCCCATGGAGATTCGTAAAATAGGAATCGACTGATACCGTAAGCCCCAACAAAAAGTTTTTTCGGAAGAAATATATTGCAGGTAATTATTTTTCACGTTTTGTAGCTGTACAATATCGCTTGCGTCTATAGTAATACGAGTGTTCACAGAGAAGTCATTTTTTACTTTCGTAACGGTCCCAGTTAACAATCTTTACTAAGCATGAAAATATGCGACCGTGTTTTTCTCGGGTTGTTTTTTCTCCTTTTTGTCGTAATACAGGTGCATCACTTCACGCGCAGGGGAACTGGACCGTTCTTTTTACCCTGAAGATGCCCCTGTATCATCAGTATTGCATTATGCACGTACTATATATATTCATCTGTACATACATACACATACACACAGACGCACATGTAGGAAAGTGAGAACTCAAACCACAAAAGCTTTTATTTAAATAAAACAAAAGGGTTGTTGTGAAAAGTGTGAAATGAAGGCCTGTGATGTAGGTGAATTTGTAGGATTTACCCTAGCGCATATCTGGAGTTGAAACACAGTTCAGTATGCTTCAGGGGTTTGTTTAAAAATGGATTTTGGTCTGTTTTGGTCTCATCCTACCCCCACCCTCAGTCCCCCCTTCTAATCCCTTTAAAAGTCTAAACCGTAACTGAAACAATGCTTTGTGCATCCCGGGAATGTCCACCAATAATAGGGGTCCATTTTTCCGAAGCCGCCACAGGGCCTGAGATGGGACAAATGACAGAAAGCGTCTGTTGTTATCTGCAGACGGAAGGGTCCTTTCACACGGCCGTTAGGAACGTGGACATTGCGCAGGGCAGCAGTTATGGCTTTACGTGGAGATTAGTCTGATCCAGGCTGATTGACAGGAGGGCATCTGCCACCCGTCGAGGTGTCTGGGTGTCATCGGGGCTCTGGTGGAAATTTACTGGTCATCGCTGACAACAAAATGCGGTGAGAGCGGAGCGGTGAGACACGTCACGAAAACTCAAACCGAGAGATGCACCTGCACTCCTCGTTTCACCCTCCACCCTCCGCCCTACCCCTTACCCCTTACCCTAACCCAAACCCCAGATGTTACTCCAAACCCTCACTTACACCCCATCCCCCAATTGTTACACTGACCCTAACTCTTCACCCTAACCCTGAGTCTTACCCTTACCTGAACTTTGATCTGAAATCTCAAGTCAAACCAGAAGAGTAACTGAATTTTTAGGGCCTTGTTTGAAGCGTGTCTCACATTCATAGACAGGGATGATGAGGCTCTGCTTCTTCGTGATGCATCCAGCACCTGTTGAATTATTGTAGACAGCAGGTGTAGGCAGAGGAATGCAGGAGTGTCTCTGCAGGGAGAGATATGACGGCAGCTCCTGTTGATCACATCCCTGCTTACATGCAGTGGTCAGGAGCAGAGCTTGTAACCAGAAGGTTGGCGGTTTGATTCTCCCATATCTCCCATACCCATATCGCTTCAGTAAGTACCTAGCTGCACAGATGTGTGATACATTCTCTCTGTGGATAAAGGCTCTGCTAAGGTGGCACATATTTAGCCCTCAGCCCTTTGAGTCTGAGTAATTTAGCAGACATAAGGTCCCATCACCTGGGGAGAGTACAGACTGGTGAGTGTGTGTTTCTGGCTGCAGTACAGTCTCTGAGGGATGTGTTGTGAGCAGCCTCTTCTCCTCTACAAGGGAAAAGCACAGGGCGGATCATGCTAACATCAGGCCCTTCCCCTCTTTTTATTTAGTTGCGTTCTGATGTACAATTCAGGCTGCAGTGTAGCATAGTGGTATGGCGCAGGGTTTGTAACCAAGAGGCTGCTGGTTCAATTCAGGGGCACTGCTGTTGTACCTTTGGGCAAGGCACTTAACCCAGGATTGTCTCAGTAAATATCCAACTGTATAAATGAATAACATGTAAAAATTTTAGCCTATGTAAGTTGCTCTGGGCAAGAGCTTCTGCTAAATGACAAAAAGGTAACTCAGTGTAAAGTGCAGTGTCTACAGGTAAAGAGCCACAGCCTGGTAGAGCTCAGCTTTGTGTGGCGGGTTACTCACTGACGGCTGGCAGTGGAAACTCTAGATAAGAGCTTTTGTGGGGCAGGCAAACAGACAGCCTGTAGGCTCTTTCAGGGAAGAGGAAGCCGTACGTCATCGCTAACACCACAAGCCTGCGGAGGAGTGGAGGCAAAGCGAGGGCAGGGAAGAGCTGGGAAACCTTTGACGGCGGTTTGGAAGGGTTTTTTGTGAGCCATACCGATGTGATATGCTCACACAGCAATGCACCGGTCCTGCCTTTGGCCGTAGCATGGCGATAGCACATTCGTTAGAGAAATGTGTTCACTTTCCTTCAAACGAGGCAAATGAGGGCAAGGGGGAGCTGGGAAATTGGGGAAGAAGATAGGGATCAAATGATGATATTTTGGAGGACCCGAGCAGGAAAGATGACACAGCGCAAACAGCAAGCAACTGTTTTTAGACAGTCAGGGGCGGGGTCAGTGGAGGGTGGGGGGCATGCCTTGGTTCGTTTACGCAACAGCCAAACTCTGCGTGACCCTCTCCCCAGTTTACCGTACTCTGCCTGTGTCCTTGGACTTCCACCCAAAAACAGTATGCATGGCTGTGGCCACTCTGAGGACTTCTCATGGAATAGGGCTGTTCGCAATTGTGTTTTTTTTTTTTTGCTCAGTGACTTGCATGGTTGCAGTTTTGAATTGCATTATCCACTTCAAACTGAACAGAAACTACGCTGAAATCTAGACACAAGACTGAGCAAATTTAGCTGTGGCACTTGTGTTGTAACGGCAGTGCCTCACCTGGTGATCAGACCGGCCGCCTCCTTGTTAGCGTGTCAGTTTGTGGAACACTGTGTCATGGTGCTTTCGTCTGCCTGGTGATAAACAGCCGACCTGCTCTTTTTCTTACTTTTCCTTACTTTCCAGGTGGGTTTTTCTTAAATGAGGGGATATTGTGATTAGCTGTTGACTCTCTGTAGCCCCTTTCCCAGCTGGTCCTCTCTGTGTTTGTTTTTCATGTTGAAACTGCACTGGTTTCATAATGACTTTGATCTGTAATTACTGTGCAGTGGAGATGCTTGCAGGCCTTGGCTGGCAGCTGTCTAAAGCCTTTCCTGCCTTCTTGACTACATGTTTGCCGCTTTTTGCGAATGGGTTTGCGAACTGCAGGAGACGGTGGTTATTTAGTGACACACATAAGGACACCATCCAGTGACGGCCTCCGGGGTATGCAGAACTCTCTGGGCTTCCTCTACCCTCACTGAAACTGTCTGCGCCTCCTCTAACCCTTCAGTTACTCTCTGCTCCTCCTCCTACCTTGCTGTAACTCTCTGCTCCTTGTCTAACCCTACAGAGCTCTCTGCTCCTCCTGTAGTCCTACAGTAACTCTCTGCTCCTCCTGTACCCTTGCTGTAACTCTCTTCTCGTCCTCTCTAACCTGCTGACAAAGCAAAGGCACATATGTTCTTATACTGAGGCTGCATAAACAACAGTACAGACAGAAAAGGTCAGACCACACCTGAACGTGCGTCACTCAGTCACACAGTGCCAGTATTAACCAGTGCCATGCTGAATACAAACGAGGTGCTACAGTAAAAGCTGTTCAGGTATTTAAGCAGCTAGAATGGAATGAAGAATAACGCAGGCATTGAGCACTTTAAAAGAAGGCCCTGGGGTTTACAGCAAGATGGACGATGAAGAGAAGACAATCAAGGACTGCTGCTGTTGTTAAAAAGCAAAGGCTGAAATGTGCTGAAATGCACTTTCAGCCGAACACAGTCCCAGAACCTTTGAGCTGAACTCCAGCTCCCTGTGGGGGCAGATTTGACACCAGATAGCGCGCCCTCATCTCTTTGTTCAGCTGATTTCATTTCTCTCCTGTGTATGAGTGTTTTGAAAGCGAGGAGAGGGATTTCCCTTGCGTTGGCTCACATGCCTGTTACAAACACAGCATTTCAGACATTTCAGTCCTGTTTCTTTTGAAGTTCAAATGAACATGGCACAAACGCTTTAGGCAATTAGAACTTGTATGTCTAGGAGTGCGTTTGTCCAGCGGTCAGAGAATAATTACCTTATGTATATATTGCGTATCAGCTGTCCAACAGACCTTTCCTTTCTGAAATGTTTCAGTTGTTAGTTTTTTTTTTTCGGTCTGTATCCCACTGTCTTTGTGAATCTCTCTCCGTTTAACCCTGAAGGACCCAGGTGGTGAGCATAGCGTTTGTCATCAGTCCTTTGATTGTTAGACGGAGGAGCGGAATGACGTGATCCTGGAATCATGGCGTGTCTGACATGTTGACTCTAACGCAATCGCTGCCCGCGGAAACCGCCGGCACGGAGCTGGCCATTATCATAAGGGCTAATTATCTTGTCTTAGGATGCACTGTGCTGTCACACTGCACAATACCCTGGCTGTCATGTGAAGCTTTCCCAGCACCTCGGGGTGAAACGCGGCCCCGGAGACCGTCTTCCTGTCTCAAACGAACTGCCTAACCGGCAATGTCATCACTGTAACCGCTGCGTTTATTAATTACCCTACATGAGAAGGAGAGACGGCCTGTGTTCTCTGCTCTATCAGGTTGATTTAACAACGATAACATCTCATGAGGTGGAGAAAGGGCTTCTGGGAAGTGACTGGCAGGCAGGAAATCCTACCTCTTTATGGTTGGTGTCACTAGAGGTCAGCTGATGAGAAAAACATTAACATTTACATTTATTCATTTGGCAGACACTTTTATCCAAAGCGACTTACAAGTGATACAGAGTACAGCACAAGCAAATAGCCATATAAGGAGCCAACAATATTAGCAGCGCTGCATGACCGAGTTTCAATAGCTGGCCGGACAAGGTACAAGGTAGCTAGTAGAGATGCAAATGCATGAAACCATAGATTTTTTTTTTTTTTTGAGGAAAACAAAGGTTGAGAGGAGGTGAGACATCTGTGGGTCAATTGGAATTTGGCTAGGCTTAATTAAGAGGGGCTCTTTGAGGAGACAGGGTGGGCAGGGAATTGTGGGAATGTGTTGGGGATGAGGCTGCGCTGTCAGACCCTGACTCCGAGCGCCAGAGTTCAGTTCATCCCCCGCTGTGATGAGCGTTTCCTCCTGTCTGTGAGTCTGCCATATAATTGGCACAATAGAGTCCTGCCTTTGCAGGGCTTCGGTGTATGATTGAGCTGATAGCTTGGCAGAACATGCTTACTCATGAGGGTTTTCAGTATGAAGGGAGCAGGATGCAGAGATGAAGAACACCCCCCCCCACGCCGTTTAAGCACTGGGAGTTAATTACTCGTCAGCTGATTTGGGGTGTCGGGGGTCTTCTCTCTTTGAAAGCGTCTGGCGTGAAGTGTATTGTCTGTTTCTGTAAATGGGGCTCCTGTTTGTAGCAGCGGCAACAGCAACAGAGAGAGAGAAATGCGGTGAGGGGTCGACAGAGATCAGAGATGGAGAGAGTGAAAGAGAGACAGGGGGAGAGGAGAAGAAAGGGGAAGGGGTGAGAGGCTAAAGCAAGATGGCTTCCTTTTGACTGATTTGTGTGATGTTCGTCGCTTAGTAGGTCTCTGATCCTTTGATTCCCTCAGGCGAGTATGGGGGCTGTATCGATGCAGTAGATCAATGGCCCGATTATTGGAAAGCTAGATTCATTCTTTGTGTGTGAGTGCGTTAGAGGCTCTGGGGCGGGGTTTGTGGGCCTGCACCCATGAGAGGCTCCTGTTACTGTGGCTTCATTTGGGTTTTCCCTCTGCTTGTTTACTGAAGCATCCACACGGCCGTGTGAAGGTTACAGTCTTCAGTTTTGAGTGTTGTTCCAGCTGCCATGATGTCAGTTATGATACCCTGTCTGTTCCTGACTCTTGGGTAATCTGGGACCAGTCTTGGGCTGTTTCGAGAGGAGAAGTTCTCATGTTGATTGATTTATGTGTGCATAGTACAAAAATTGTGAATCTAAACATTTTAAAAGGAGAAGAATATTTAGTGGTGGAAATTTGGTTTTGATGACAGAGGTCGTCATTTCAGGCTTATAGTGAGTGAGACCAGGGAAGTTTCTTTTCCAAAAGAAAAAAACACTCTTAAGTCGCTTGTCTGCACTTTCCAAACATAGATGAGAGAGAGAACAGATATGCTATATTTCATACAATATGTACAATATGTACAAAATACATAACATAGTTAATATATTTATCAGAGGAATGAACACAAAAGCGTGATCCTGAGAATTGATGGTGTGTAGGAAGCTTTGGGGGTGTTCCTCAGTGATTCACACTGCTGGCTCTGCCTCTATCTGCCTCTATCTGCCTCTGCCTGCCTTTGTCTGCCTTTGTCTGCCTTTGTCTCTCTCTCTATCTGCCTCTGCCTGCGTCTGTCTGCCTCTATCTGCCTCTGTCTGCCTCTGTCTGCCTCTGTCTGCCTCTATCTGCCTCTATCTGCCTCTGCCTGCCTCTATCTGCCTCTGCCTGCCTCTATCTGCCTCTGTCTGCCTCTATCTGCCTCTGCCTGCCTCTATCTGCCTCTGTCTGCCTTTGTCTGCCTTTGTCTCTCTCTCTATCTGCCTCTGCCTGCATCTGTCTGTCTCTGTCTGCCTCTGCCTGCATCTGTCTGTCTCTGTCTGTCTCTGTCTGCCTCTGTCTGCCTCTATCTGCCTCTGTCTGCCTCTGTCTGTCTCTATCTGTCTCTATCTGTCTGGCTGCCTCTATCTGCCTCTGTCTGCCTCTATCTGCCTCTGTCTGCCTCTGTCTGCCTGTCTCTCCCTATGTCGGCTGTCTGCTGGCACCTGGGGCTGCCCTGGTGTTCTACCCATTCACTGTGAATTATTCATGGAAGTTTTTTTCAGG